TAAAATTGGGAGTTCATAACCCACTTCAATCTAATGTATGAAATATGATATGTCAAGAGCTTTGTAATGTTGTGAACAACCAATAAAAAAAAATTAAAAAAAAAATTTAAAAAAAAATCTATATCTAAAGTTCTAAAAGATCTCCTTCAGTAAAATAAAACTTCTGAACACAAAAAGCACTGTGAGGGACTGGGGGTATAGCTCAGTTGGTAGAGTGCTTGTTCGCAAGCACAAGGCCCTGGGTTCAGTTCCCAGCCCCCCTGCCCCCCCCCCAAAAAAAAGCATTGTGAGCCAGGCGCAGTGGCACATACCTGTAATCCCAGCAGCTTGGGAGGCTGAGGCAGGAGGATTGCAAGTTCAAAGCCAGCCTCAGCAACTTAGCAAGACCCTGTCTTTAAATAAAATATAAAAAAGGGCTGGGGATGGGACTCAGTAGTGAACACCCCTGCATTCAATCCCCAGTACCAAAGAAACAGACAAATAAATAAATAGCACTGTGGGCTATGTGGGAGGCATTCAGAGAAGCTCCTGCAGGCTTGAAGCTCCTCCAATGGGAAGACACTAAAAGGATTTGCTGCAGACCTCCTCTGATAGATTCACTAAAGGAATTTCTTTCAACAGAAAGTAAATGATAAAGAACAAACATTGGAAGATCTGGAAAGAAGAAGAAACAGAGGGATGACTGGAAAGACGAGTTACTGTAATAGACCATGCTATTCTCCATGAACTTTACAAATACCTTTTTTATTTAAGAAATTATGACATCATCTGACACTCAAGAAAAGTTGTTTGTTTGTTTTTTTTAATGGAGAAGTTAAAAGACCTGATTAGAATTAATGTGCTCATACTGCACTCAAAGTGGTTAATAATGTAATACTCAGAAAAACCACTATAACAACTCTACAAAAGAGATATATTCAACAATCCTATAATAAATGAAGAGGAATTTACCAAAAAAATATGTTTAAGTAATCCAACGGAATCTAATAAAAGAAAAACGGAGAAACAAGAACCAAAGAAAATAATTAATAAAACAGCAGACTCATGCATGAGCATATCAAGAGTTACTTTATTGGCAAGTATGATTTAAATATACCAATCAAAAGAGATTGGAAGAGTGAGTAAAAACCATGATCTAACTGGGTGCTCTTTATAAGAATCTCACTTCAAATTAAATGGCATAGATAGGTAGAAAGCAAAATAATAGAAAAAAATAGACATATAGAAACTAATAATAGAAAATTGACTATAGTAATATCTAACAAAGCAGACTTCAGAGAATGGAAAGTTACCAGAGCCAAGAGGTGTCCATTTGTCCACATCATGTTTGTAATGACAAAATTGCCAGGCACATGGCACATGCCTGTAATCCCTGTGACTCAAGAGGCTGAGGCAGGAGGGTTACAAGTTTGAGGCCAGCCTCAGCAACTTAGCAAAGTTCTGTGTTAAACACACACACACTCACACACACACACACAACTGGATATGTAGCTCAATGGTAAAGCACCACTGGGTTCAATTCCCAGTACCAAGAAAACAAACAATGACAAAATCATCAATCCAATGAGAAGATATAACAATCCTAAGTGTGCATGCACCAAATAATAAAGCTTTGAACTACATAAGATATAAAATGATACAGCTAGAAAGATTAAAATAAAACCATAAGTTTTTAGTTGGGGACTTCAACATCCCCCTCTCCAAAACTGATAGAACTACTAGAAAGAAAATCAGCAAGATTATAGAAGCTATGAACAACACAATCAACCAACAGTTTCTAATTGATATATTTAAAA